CGGTGACGTGAATGACAATTAGGTGACACCCCACTGAGCGAATCAGTTAAGCAATTATTCTGTAGATTTTTCCGTAACATTAAATTTTGTTTTTTTCATAACACGTAATTTTGCACTTTTCCGTGACATTCAATCCCCAGATACGTCCACCATGTCCGAGCCGGAGAAAGACGTGAAACCGGAATAACGCCGACGGGAGTAAACGAAAAAAAAATGTAGAAAAATGAGCAAAGGGGTGGAAACGATGAGAATTATCCTTCTGGGAAGTCCTGGCGGTTCCAGGAGTTCAGATAGGCGGAAACGGGTGAACTTCTTGCCGAAGCGAAAGGGCAGGCCCTCTTTGGTGGTCCCGGGGTGGTCCCACCCCCGCAAGAACCAGGCCCGTCACGCATTCGCGGCGAGGACGGTGTGCATACCGCGCTACGAGAATGCCTCGGCCCGTAAAGACTGTAAAGGACGATCCCGGGAGGATTTGACACCGCGAGGTAGCTTAATCCTTCCCGGGGCAACGCTAACTCACGGGGCTCCCGCTTTTTCCCGGTGCTTCGGCCTTTTTCTGGGAGCTTACCGGATCGATTTAATGCCCTCCGGAAACCGTCTATCCCGGCCCGTTCCTCCGCTCCGGATTTACTCGGCCGGTGATCTCCTTTTCAATTTTCGACAGGGAATATTTCACCGGCCGGTGCATTCCCTTCCGGGAAGACCCTAAATTTCGCCTCCCTGTTTCCCGCGTCTTTTTGTCCACCTCCGCGCATCTCCCTCGTCGTGCACTAAGCGAAGATTCCACGACAGGAATTCATCATGGAACGTTACTTTGTCCGAGAGGTTCTCTCTCGCATAAGCGGATCGAAAAGTGCGAAGTATCGAGAGATTATCGACGTGGCCGGAGCGTCTGATGGCTAATATAAAATCCGAGGATAAAAGGCCTCTCAGAATTCCGACTCGGGTCCGAGATAAGTCTCGGACGAGGTCGCTCGATCGGGCCGAAGTCACTGACACGATCGCGATCCCGACGTCTCGATCGCCGCCATCTTGTCGAGGGCCGTTAACGAAACGAATCAACGAAAACGAGAGGCCACTGGGCTCGTTCGTCGCGGTTAACGAAACACGAGGGAGAAGGACGAGCGATCGTTTATTAGAACTGATAGCGTTTTAACAGGCCGAGGCATTCGGGCCCGACAGAAGCCGGACTTAACCTCTCCTCCTCCCGATGTAAATCCGCGTGGGCCGGCTCCCATCTGGCTGAGATTTAATTTCGCAAATCAGTGCGCCACTCGGGCAAAACCGAGCTCAGGAAAAGAGTGGCCATTTAACGAGGCCCGATTCGTCGACGGCTGTCCACGTATCCCCCGATTTATGCGCGACCGTCGACGCGCCGAATTCGCCGAGCCCTCGAGGACGCCATCTTGGAGAACGCGTCCCTTGCTCCCAATCCTTCCTACGTTCTCGAACGTTAATTAACGTTGTCAAGTAACAGAGTAAAAAAACACGATACCATTCCGTGCTCGACGACGAGATCCACCGGCGCCTCTCTCGATATTCATACGACCCGCAATAAAATATTAACGGCGCCCGTCCGCCGAGGATCCGCTAATGGACGTTTATTGGGCCCTTTCCGAATGTCGGAAACGATGCGAGGAATCCAGGGAGCGAGATGGACAGTCGGTCGTTCCCGTCGTTCCTCCTTTTCCCGTTCGCCCGGGGACAATGCATCGGCTAAACAAACTCGATGACGCTCCCTCGAAATACAGTAATCCCCCGTGCGGGCCGACAAAGAGCCATTGTCGCGGGAATGGAGATACGTTATCGTCCCGGAGTGCTTTCAAGATGGCGCCGCGACAGGTCGTTCACGAAGGCAGGACTTGACTCATCGCGGAGCCGATTAAGCTACGAGGAATCGCGCGATTCCATCGGCGAAAATCGATGACTCCGCGATAAGGAGATAACCGAGAACGCGTTCCCCGAACTCGCGTCGAGGGCTCCTCGGGGGCCGGAAATCGGGGCCTCGGCGGCACTCCTTCTCGACGCGATGAGAAAAAAGGACAAAGGAGAGGCGTCGCACTACTTCGAACGCGGTGGCGATAAAATCAATTCCGACGGGGCGATTAGGAGGGAAAAAAAAAAAAAAAATGGCCAGGATCTTCGAGCTCGCGGGTAACAGTCGCTCAGGAACGAAGAGGCCATAAACCGAGGACGCCTTCTCCGCGGCGTTAAATTGATCCTCCGTTTTGACCGCACGTCCCCGGGGAGGCGTTCTTTTCTCTCGCGATCTCGAGGAGCGGCACTCTAACCCGATAACGGGACGTCCGAAGTTCCCACAGGAGAGTCCTCGCACGTGGCACTCGAACTCCCGCGAGGGTCTATCTGTCCGTTTCATCTTCTGGTCCGTTCTCGGCTCTCCTGGTTTCTCCGCATCCTCTTTCCGCCTCCTTTCGCCCTCCCTCCCGCGGGATCCCCGTATACACGTGTACACAACCGCGTGGGCGTGCACGTACGTGCTGCGGGAGGTATATCTGCATCTAAATGCGCCTCTCGGATACGAAATTCTGAGGACGTCGCGGGGTGATATGTGACTACGGGAGCCACGGCGTCCTCCGAGCGATCCTCGTCAGGAAGGCCTTCCCGGAATGCGGGACCGGCGAAAACGCTGCGGCCCGTCCTCCAGGGGTGCCTTTTATCGCCGGGGGCCCCGATCCGTTCGAGGGAGTGGAAATAAATTAGAAACTGCGGGGAAAAAAGCCACCGAGACAGCGCGCGTCAAAGGGAACAGGTAGGCCGGTCACGTGACCGACTACGTGAGTCACGGCGTCAGTCGCGGCCTAGTAGTCGGTTCATCCTTTTTAACGACTTCAAGGATCAGGTCGTGGTTCTAAAATCGGGAAATCCGGAGCTATCGGTTTTAAACGTTAATGAAATTATTTATTCGCCGTTAGGGTTCTGCTCCGGTTCGGGGATCTGTCTTGATTGCCGTAGTTACGGCTCTCTACGCTCCTACTGTGGGAGTTTTGGGGTTCTCTCCTTGCTACGCTTCCTGCAACCGCTCGTTCTCCTCCATCGGGTTGTTCAAATACTCCAGGCTAATTCCGTTTGACTTGTTTGTTGCGACGCCGTTCGCCCTGCAGCGTCGTATATTAATAACCCCGCGTCCTCCCTCGGGCGGCGTCGCGTTATATCGCGTTAGACCGTCTTAATTCGGTATTTCGAGAAAGTTGATTAGGATCGACGTTCTTGCGCCCGTTATTACATCTTTCGATACAGATTAGGAACCCCTGGGAAGGCTAATTCGATCGTTCGGGGCGAGAGGACATAATCGGCCATTTTGGAGAACGCTCGGCACGTGGCTTGGGCAGATGGTTTCGAGAAATTCCTTTTTTATTCCGAGGATCGATTACATCGCGCCGATTACGGTGTCGCGTTCCTCCCTTTCCGAAATTACCGACAGCCCCAATTCCCCTGATAGATACTCGAACGATACGAGTCGGTATGAATAACAAAGCCGAGAGGGGCCGCGGCCATCCAGTACGTGACGTCACGCGCAGGCGGCCATTAACGCGGACTTCCGCGCCGTCGGGATCACCCTTAGGGGGCGTGACGAGGAAGTTCCGAAACTCCGACACGGATAAATACTCGAGCGATACGAGTTAATATGAATGACAATGCCACGGGGAGCCGCGGTCTGCCTGGCAAGTGACGTCCCCTAATCTGCCGACATGTACGCAAAATATGTGTACTCTTGTTGCGTATTCAGATCTACAAGCATCACTCTTGGAATATTTACATCCTCATTTGAAAACAAAAAAAGAGGTTCGCGATAAGTGACGTACAATCTGCTCCTGTAAACGCCAAGTAATTAGCCATTAAAAGAATAATTGATCATGCTAGTTTATTATATATAATAATAAAGAATCAATTTGTAGAGGCTCGTGGATTGACGTCTCCTGATCTGCTGACATATATACGAAATACGTATTTTTTTATCTTTCCGGAGAGTCTCCACTTTCACGGCATTTACATTCTTAATTAAAAGAAAAATGATTCTCACGTTAAATGAAACCGGTAATGAGAGATATACTTTGGAGTTAATCTGCAGAGGTTGGAATACTATCATCCCTTAATTTGCCGATATATACCAAAAATACCCTTTTTTTCTAATTTTCGTTTCCAGATGTAGAGACCCATTTCACGGTATTTGCATTTACAATTAGAGAAAAAACTCGTCACATCGAGTGGCGCAAGTAGGGAGACATTTTGGCGTCAACCTGTAGAGGCTCAAGTAGTGACGTCACGCGCCGGTGGTCATTGCTACGCCGGCCGGTAGGGAGCAGCATACACGTGTAGGTACGCGCGCGTTAACCGGGGAGTGTTTCGAAAAATCAACAGGAGTCCTCGGGAAGCGTTTCGACGCTCGATTAGCGCCTCGACGCTAACGATCGAGAATCGAAACTCCGGGCGGAAAAGGGCCACGTCGACGGGACCGAGCCCGCTCGCGTCGGCCGTCTCTCTAATTTGTCCGTTCAAACAAAAAGCAATTTGTTACCCGGCGGACCGACTCTTGGGCCAGCGGCGGTGCGACCAGCCGAGCGAGAGAGAGGGACGCAGGCGAGCCGCGGGAGCGCGAGCGAGACAGAGGGAGAGACAGCGCGAGGGAGAGAGGGCCGCGCACCGAGAGGGGGCACGAGAGGGGCTGATTTAAACCTGTCTGGCGGCCCGCTGTGCGCTTAACAACTGAAAAACAAACATGGCGCCCGACACACCGGCCAGCGGGAGCCCACGTATGCGCGCACAAGGACCGTAACGCGCTTCTGGTGCTAGCCCGGTGTACTCGGAATTCTAACGCGGGGTGAGAACATCACCTTCCCAAAAGGCTCGCCTAGGCGGCCGTGAACTCCATAGGGCGTTCCGACAAAGAAGGCACGTCCCGAGTTCGATACGCATTTGGCTCGATACTCTGCCGAATTTCTTGAAGATCGAATTTTTTACACTTAGAGAGTCCTACTTACGCCTGGAGTGTTGGCTTGAGGTCCGTAGGGGTACCGCGTCCACTCTAGGCTGGCCTCTGTAGTCGTGTCCAGGAGAACAACTGCAAACAGAACATACGTTTATCACCTGTTTCATGACGTGTCCAAGACATGTGTGGAGGATATACAGCTCAACGATTCCCGTTTCTTGCGAAGGTAGGAATAAGAAACGCGAGCGATCAGAAGGGAAGTTCTTTCTCTCGCTTTCTTGCCGTTAGACACATTAATCAGCGAAAAAGGAGAAAATGTGAGGAAAGACCGTTACCCACGGTAACTACGAAGAACAAGTTCTTTTATTGCTCATCATAACCTCAATACATCCATTTTTCTTCTACAAAGTTACTTCGGCTGCCATAACCTCCTGGAAGGTTATCCCAATTGTGGTTTCCCCGACCATTCTTTCTTTTTTCGCGAAGGGGCAGAATATCGTCAATTCGTCCCCTTCCCCCCCTCCCCCATGGTTGAGCTCGTCTAGGACAAACAGCGCTTGAGCAAAATCCAACGTAGTCAGGGGGTTAGAATTTCCGACGAACACCGGTAGGTTTCGGAAAAGCATCGATAACCTCTCTCGCAAGAGCGGAGGCGCGACGTCGCGCGAGGCGCGGCTTGCGGAGGTTGGGGTGGGGTGGGTAGGGGGTGGAGGGGGAGTGGGGGGCGCGCGCGGTACGTGCAAAGTCTATCCGCTAGCGCGTCGGTCGCGTCTATCGACCGCGGGGCCCGGCCGGGGGAGCACCGCCGCTCGCGGGCGGCTTCGCCACCTCGAGCCCGCTATCCTCCACACCCTCCGGCCGCCCTCCCCACCCGGCAGCCCTCCACGCGCCGACGCCCAACCCCCGTGTCGCCGCCGCCGCCGATCCCCAGACTGGAGGTCCTTGAATTCCTAGACCAAAGAGTGTACCAGCCGGCGGTGGCGGCTGCCGGATGGAATCTCAAAGGTGAAAACCGCGCGCCGCAAAATCCTCCCTTCCTTCGCGGCAGACACCCGCGCGACCTTACTCGCCCCCGGCAGGCAAAATCCCAGTGGTTCTCCCGCGAGCGGGGAGGGTGCGTCGCCATCTTGTCGCGACCGACTCTCTTTGCGTTAACTAAACCAACGATGTCATGTACTTAATACAGGAAAACGCTCGAAACGTTTTTCTTTGTTTTTATGATTAGAAATGATAGATATTGGGAAGGATGAAAATTGAGAGTGCAAATATGAATGGACTCGCACGATGTATTAATTAAGCGCCGAGGTCAGGTTTATTTTCTAGCAAATGGTGGAAGGGTTGACGAGGACTGTCTGGGTTTAACTTCGAAGATTTATTCGTAAACGAGTTGTAGGGGTGAGTCCGATCACGGGGATGCAGATTTTTGTCTCGGCGGATGGGACGACGTGGCGGAGCATCCCGGTTAGGTCCCACTCCCGTCTCGCAACGATGCGTTTCGGATGCACGGCGAACCGTCTTCCGGCGCCATTATGCGGCCCGTACGAGACGGTCGACGTTTTTCATTCCTCGCTTTGTCTTCTCGCTTTTTCCGCGTTCCATGAGAATGCGGGGTGCGGAACATAGAGCGGACCCTCCGGTCGCGGGTCGAGCATGTGTCGGGGACACGTGGACAATCCGGGGCCACGGTGATATATTCTCGCACGCGTTGGCCCGCTGCACGCAAATCGCGGTGGCTCGGATCACGGAGGGTCCCGATCCCTCGGGAACGATCGGGATGATTCAGTCCCGGAAAAACATGGCGTAGCTCGGAATTTAATCTCCGCTAACTGTCGGCCCTGGCGGGGGTACGCGTCTCGCCGGGTCTTTTTCCCGCGGGCACGGCGAGTTTCGGCCTCTCTCCGAATTTCGGAACCCAGCCCAGCCCGAATCCATAAACCCGAGCTTCGTCGAATCCATAACGCAGTTTCGGGAAAATACACCGTCCCCGAGTGGATGGGCCATGACGGGCGGAAACGGCGGAAACTCGGCGCGATCGGGCCAGGCGTAAGGGACGCGTCCCGCGCGAGGGAGGGAATTTAAATTTCAAATTTGGATCGTGTCGCAGGGTGTGACGGCATGCATACTATCGGAGCGGCCCCTCTATTCACTTAATGCACCCCGTCCCTCGCCCCGTGAGGTCGGGGCGCATTATACGCGCGCATACGCGCGAACGCGCACTTATATACTCCCGCGAGGCGGCCGGCCGCGCGCAGGGCGCATGCCCGGGTCAGCTTCCCCCACTCCGGCGGCGCCGGCGCGTGGTGGGGGGGGACCACCTACGTACAAGCGCGGCACTTCGCGACGGCCGCCTCTAGGGCCCCGGCGCTGCGCGCGAAGGCCGCCAGAGATCTTGTATATTCCCGATTTTATTTGGGCCCTAAAATTGTTGCGAGGGGCCCGAGCTGACAGGAGGTGCCGGCGCGCCATTCGCCGTTCGGACATCGACTCGAATCCACATCGAGGGCCCTCCTCCTCCCTCCCTCGCCGTTATACCCCCCTTGCTAGCGAGCGTGCAAACCGGCGGATCTTTAAGTGCCTTCCAATTTGTCCGGGATATATCCCTACCACGAGATATACCTCGGTATTTACCCAGGGTCCGTGTTCCATGACTTCCAGGGCGTGTCGTTGACCCACCCGGCGCAACTTTCGACCCACTCGAGTAGCGCCGAGGACTCGGTCTCGAAAGGGCCCGAGTCGTCACCCACGAGTAGGATTCGGGCCCGAGTCGGCTTTTCGGGAGGGAACGATTTTTTTAGACCCTAAATACCGAAATCGTTGTCGCGGGTGGACTCGTAATCGTCCGACGGTGCAGATGTCCGATCGTAATCGGACTTCTCGGGCCCGGACGAGGCCCCGTAAAAATTCATCACGCGCGGCCGAACGTGGGCAGGCATCCCAACACCTCGGCGGGATTATCGGGAATCATCTCAGGAATCCTCGATCATAAGAAGGCCGAAAGTCCAAACGATTCCGAGTCGGGATTATCCCGAGGGTTTCCGGTTTCCTCCCGGAGATCTTTGTCGAGGGTATAAAGATCTCCGTGTCAGATCGGGTCGAGCGAGGCCGGAAAACCAGGGAGGGGGATCTCGGAGGTGTGATCGGTTTTCGAAAACTACTTCCATGGCGAGCGTTCCGAAAATTCCAAACGGGGCCGATTTCCTCTACGGCCGATCACGAGGCGATTAATTCGGTCGGCCCTCTCCACGAAACGTGGAAAGCCCGAGACGCGCCGAGGAGCCGTCCGTCACTCACGAACCGAAGTCGATGGGATTTTCAGAGAAAACCTCCGCAGGAGCCCCCGCAATTTTCCCTCTCGCTACAGAAACAATGAAAATTCCAAGAGAGCGGGAGAGAGGGAGGGACGAGGCCCTTTTCCAACAATTATTTCTGCCACCTCGGCGGAACGGACGGAGGAGAGAGAGCAAAGAAAGACGGAGGGTGGAACGGCAGAGAGGGGGAGAGGTCACGCCTAGGATCGTCCGGGATTTTTTCCGGGACAAAGGCAATGAAAATTCCGCCAGGAGGGCTCCCCCGTTCCTTTTTTCTTAACAATTACTTCTGCCACCTCGGAGAAAGGAGCGCTAAAGGGCCCGTTAAACGGAGGATCGGAAAAGAGGGGCACGCGCGCCCTCTACCTTTCCTTTTAACGGGCCAATAAGGAAATTCCGCGAGCATTTTTCCACAATTAATTCGGCGACCTCGGTGGAGTAAGAGAGAGAAAGAGACCCATGGGGTAGAAAAGGAGAGAGAGAAATACGAGGTGCTCGGGGACTTAGGCCGAAACTCGCGTCTCCGCGGGGTTCCTGGGCCCAGGAGGGGGGAGGGGGTCCGGGACCCGAGAAGAAGTTCGGCTCGGCCCACGCCGCCGGGCCAGCATGCTTATGGAAGGAATTACCATTTACATAGCGTTATTATGTTTGTGCATAATGTATGTACACATGTTAAATCAATTATTTAAACAATATGGGCCCCGTCGCGGGAGATCGTCCGTGTCCGCGAGATGTTAGATTGCCCTTCCCCCACCCCCTTCCCCCTCTCGCGATCCTTCGGTCTCCTTCCCCTTTTCCTCTCCTCCCGTCACCTGCTGGTTCCCCCATCCTCCACCTCTTGAGCTCTCGGGCTCTTTGCATACGGATCTTGAATTTCAATTGTGCTTTTCAAGTGCGGACCACCCCCCCCCCTCCCGCCGTACTCGCCCCATTCCGCCCTCCCTCTCGCTCTTTTGTTTCCTCGTCCGCCACGTTCCCTTTCTCTTCGCTTCTTTCTCCCCGGCCTCCTTGGGGTCCGGCCCCGAGAAGAGAGGAGAGCGAAAGGACGTGCTAGGCGAAGGGTGGAGTAGGTGGATAGGTCGGGCAGGAAGGGGGTTTCTTTTTTTTTCCCACCCTTGTCTCTCTCCTTTTCGTTCTCTATCCCTCTTTCATCGTTAATTCTTATTCCGGATTTCTAGTCTCGCTGTGGGAAGTCTTTCTGGAGGAGATCCAAGATGGCGGCCGCGAGTTGCCGCCGCGCGATGCAATAGGAACGGCCGCGGCTCGGAATTACGCGGTTACGACATCGGCCCACGGAGGCGGTAGTTTCACCCCTTTTTACTCGAGCTACGCGATCCACGGACTGACCTATAAACGGATAATTACAGAGAGAGAGACGATATTGGGACTTTTTACCACGGCTCATTCGCGGCTGCGCTGCGGACGTGTTTACCGGATCGCGGGAGTTAAGAGATAAGCGCTGCGAGGAGGGATCGATGAACGCGTTTGTCGATAGACGTGCATTTTTCGACCGTTTCTGGATGAATCGAAGTCGACGGTTTTCGCGATTCCTCTCGCGTGTCTTAACATCTGGGAAGGTTAAGTCGATTAGCCAGATGCGGACGCGCTTGACGGTGTGCACAAGCAGGCCATTGTGTCTCGTAAAGGGATCCATGATCAGTCCCAGAAAAGGTCGTATTTTTTTTTTATTCCCCGTTCCTTAAGGCCGTCATCTCGCACCATCTGTTCCCATTCGCCGGCGCGGCGCTCTACATCCATTTTTGGTTCTCACGGAAGGCAGGCGGTCGTCTAACGATCGTCCCTCGGTGTACTCCGCTTATAAGG